GCGGGGCTGGCGCAGCTTGCAGTACAGGGGATTGAGCCTGAGTCCTTGTACTTGCCAGGCAGGTTCTTAGACCACTAAGTTGTCCCCCCGGCCCTAAAATCTGTGTCTTTATTTTTCTGCTAACATTTAAGTTTAATATAAAGCTAATATGTTTTGTTGACTTGACAAAGGTTCATCTTAATATAAAAGTTAGTAAAATAAATATTGTTTAATCTTAGAGCTATTCTTCAAAATTCCTGGACAGAAGTCATGGATTTAATACTAAAACCCCGTTCTGGAGGTAAGAAGAAAATTCATGTTTAAAAAACTAATAAGGTTGGGAATTAGCATTGAGTTCAATCCCCAGAACAGGTGTTTGTAAATAGGATCACAAGTCCGCATCTTGTACAGCAATTAACCACTGAGAAGAATATATGCAGTGTCTTATTTGTTGAAACTGTACTTCTGATTTGATTTGAAACTGTCTCATTGCTATATGTTTATCAATAAAACTTTGAAAAAAAAAAAAAAAAAAAAAAAAAAAACATCCCCAGAACAACAACAACAACAAAAAATCCCCAAGAGAGAAAAGAAAACAGTATATGGCTAGGTGTTCATGGGATTTCTTCCAGTAAAAATGTCTGAGCTTGGGGCATGGTGGCTACATAGTTCACAGCCAGCCTGAACTGCATAGTGAGAGCCTATCTCAAAAAAAGGTGAGTTCAATATACAGTGAATGTTTTGATTTTTAAAAAATATATTACTGTAAAGACACTGATTAATCCTTCAGTGAATGCTCCTTGTGAAAGTATTAGCGTGTGACTCCCACTTTTCCTCAAAATAGAAATGACCATGGCAGGTGGACATCTGAACCAATTCAGGACATCAAGTGAGCCAAGCAAAGCCCAACTAATAACACCCATAAAAGAGGATTCCAAAACTGCCTCAAAAGGGGCAAATATGGCTAAGTGTCTTTGAAGTGCATTGGAAGATTGTGAGCCAGACAAATGGCAACATGTCTGAGTTTTTTGTGGCTTTTTTTTCTTTTTTTCTTTTTTTTTTGCCAACTCAGCCTGCCCTGAGAGCAGAGCTGGTGCCACATGTGTTGTAGGGGATTGAACCACGGTCCCCTGTGCCTGCCTAAGCTTGCCTAAGCAGGCGTTTTAGACCACTGAGTTATCTCGCCAGCCCCAGCTTTTTTTTTTTTTTTTTTACAAATTGTCAAAATAATTATACTTGCTTTGCGAAATTATTCATCTGCAAACCAAAAGATGAAATTATGTAACTTTTAGAAAGTAACCCATTACACCTGAGTATATAATAGAAAAAGAGAAAAAAAGATTGCCAGGCTTTCATCTGCTCTGGAATCAGCTCTAGAGACAGAAGTACATA